TCTGGTGACTGACATTGCTTAAGAGTCCTTGAAAACTGAAAATATACAGTTTCTGTCCCTTTTATCAACGTTTTTCGGTAAAATCCACTTTGAAATGTGTTTTCAAATAGACATAAAAGATGTTGAGCAAAATTTAAAAAGTCCATAAAAATTGCCAAACCAGCAGAAAAATGGTTTCTTCAATTTCAGTATCAGTATTTAGACGAGCGCCTGATTTCCTCACGATGTCTCACATATATTGTATACACACACACACATACACACACGGCAGAAAAACAATTGTTCCCCACCCCCTGAAACACACTTCCATACACAGAGAAAACAGACACACAAATCAACATAAACACGCAAAACACACACACACACACACTATTTTATGCAACTTACCCCTTCTCCTTTTTGTCTTGCAAGATGGTCCTCATATAATTGATTGATTCTATTATTTGACGACCCCAACCTTATTCTCGTTTCCTTCTCCCCGCCTTTCTTATTAAATAATACTACTACTAATTATTATTTACTACTACTACTACTACTACTACTACTACTACTACTACTACTACTACTACTACTACTACTACTACTACTACTACTACTAATAATAATAGATAGCATTTTTGTATATCGCTAATTCCCGCTCAACGACAAGCTCCAGACCTATTTGCTTTGCAATCTATATTGTGTTCTTACCCCCCCCCCACCTTGTCCCTCCCTTTGGCCGCGTGGTGTGGAGGACAGGGTGACCACCTTACATCGCTCACCAGGACTACAGGAGCCCGGCCGCGCTGTGACGCACGTGTTCCTCTCCGTGCTGCTCACCCTCGCCCTCGCCGGCCTCATTCTTATCCCGGGACTTCGCCGCTCAGCAAAGGTGACATGCCATTTTGTTCTAGTTTACGTCTTTTTCAGTGTTTCTTTTGTTTTCACCGAAGGTTCTTTACCTCCATCAACAGAATTTAGATCATTTAGGAGGCGGACTTCGACTCTGTATGCAAGTGTCGACCCGGGCTGAGAGGTATACTACGTCCCAGTGTAGGAGGGGCACCCTCCTTACCTTGCGTCTTGTCTTGTGTGTAGTTGTCGACTTGTATGGCCGACGAGTTGGGCGGCTGGTCACCCAAGCAGAGTGCGTGCCCTCTGTGAGTCAAACAGTCTCCTCCTCTGTCCCCAGCTTCTGTGTGTGCTCACCTCCGTTATGCTGATGGTTGCACTGGCCGTGCTGGTGGGGGCGGGGATAAACGGAACGGCAGCCAGTGGTGTGGCGTCTCTGCTTTATCCTAACTTCCAGACATTGACCAACCCTCGGGTAATTCTCTTGCTGCTTCCACGTCTATCTGTCTCTGTTTTTCTCTCTTTCTCCCACTCCCCACCCTCTCCCCCCCCTTCTGTCTCTCCTTCCCTCTCCCTCCCCTTCTCCCTCTCCCCTCTTTCTCTCTCTTTCGCTCTCTTTCTCTCCCTCTCTCTCTTTCTCTCTTTCTTTCTATTTCTCACTCTCCATTCTCTCTTTCTATATTTCTCTCTCTCCATTTTATCTCTATTTCTCTTTCTTTTTCTTTCTTTCTCTCTCTCTCTCTCTCTCTCTCTCTCTCTCTCTCTCTCTCTCTCTCTCTCACTCTCTCTCTCTCTTTCTCTCTCTCCCTCTCTCCCTCTCTCTTATTTCTCCCTGTCTCCATTTCTCTCTCTATTTTACTCTCTATTTCTCTCTCTCCTTTTCTCATGCCTCCATTCTGTTCTTGTATTTTTTATATTTTCCAGGTTCATGCCTCCCCTCTGTTATTCCACTTCATAACTTTCATCTTTTCATTCCTACCTCTGGTCTTTCATCTCTCATTTTCATTTACTCATTCTTCTCCTCTTTTGTTCCATTTCTCTACTTTCATCTTTTCATATCTTCCTCTATTCCTCGTGTATTCTTCCAGCTCTCACTTTCATCTCCTCAATCCTCCTGTCGGTTTTTTTCCCACTTCCTCACTTTCATCTTCCCATTCCTCCCGTCTTTTCTTCCATTTCCTCACTCCCATCTACTCATCTCTCCCCTCGTCTCTTCTTCCATCTGTCACTCCCGTCTACTCATTCCTCTCCTCTGTCGTTCCCTGTCCTCCAGGCCTGGTTCTCCGCCGTCAACCAATCACTGCTCACCCTGGGTGTCGGGGTCAATGTCCTGCCGGTGCTGGCGTCATATCGTCGTTATAACGGGGACACCTCACGGTAAGTTAGCTGTCTGCACTGACCACAGCATCCCTACTGCAAGGAAGGACATAATATGTATAGGCCGCAAAGTTTTTAAGGAGGGTGGGGGGGGGGGGATATATCCCCAAAGTCCCGATTCGGCTCAAAATTATGAAATTTGAGTTGTAGGGATTTTTAGCTTTCTCAGCCTCTCTTACAACTATTTCATTGGATAAGAACCTCCAAAACCCGTATTTCTTCCCATTCCAGGCTTGTTTGTCAGCACCATTTCCTCATAAAGTCAATATTTTATTTTTCTTTATCGGCCGTTTTCTCAAAACGCGATTTTTCTGTATATTTCTTTGAATAACTCCACCTATTTTCATCCAATCTTCATGAAATTTTCACAGAATGAAGAGAAGATGTAGTACTGAACATCTGTTTCTTGAATTTTTGATATATGGAATAGATTTTTGTTGGTGGTGTCCGGAGTGCGGATTAGTACGGATTTTTTGAAAATTTGAATAGATCTACTACCCCAGGAAAAATTTCATTAAAGATTTTCTATTTCGTTCAGGAAAAAATCAGTAGACAAATGTTTAAATCTAATGTTTGCTTACATGCATGCAGAAAAATTTAATCAATTTCCATGAAAAAATGTGCGGTATTCATTACGTAAAACATGTCAACAAAATCCAATATGGCTGCCGTAGCCATGGAAACGAAACTTTTTTCTCAAATTTGCTTGTGGATTTTAAGACTCCTTACTATGCTTGCGAAATCTGGTAAAATTTGGTCAACTAATAAGCGAGATAGTCTTCAGGTGTAGCCCCCCCCCCTCCCCACCTAAAAATATATTTTTTAAAGATTATTATTATTATTGTTGTTGTTGTTGTTGTTGTTGTTATTGGTTTTGTTGTTATTAGTATTATTATATAGATTATTTCTTTTCAAATGTTCTAATTTGAGATGATAAACTGCCGTAGTCTCCACAAACTACCTTTCTGGGCAATATATTTTTGAAGTTGTATCTGAAGGCGCCCTCCCCTGGGGCGAAGGGAGTTGTTAAAAATCATCGTACTTATCCCCGGCAAACACTGGGAAATTTTCGCAACTTGTTTGCCTGCGAAGTAAGATGTCACTTGTGTGACACGAGCCTCATGTGTGTACTCTACAAAGAAAAGATGGAAGAGAGATGAGGACTTTCTAAGTCGGACCGAAAAAGGTCAGGTCGACCCAGAGTGACCGATGCATGTGCATACAAATACATTGTCCGGATGTATCATTCAAATCGACTTCAGACAGCTACAAGAACGTCAGATTTCAAAAGGGGTAACCATGGAGAAGCCAGAAGTCGACACAAAGTAAACCGATTACGTCAGAAAGGCCTTTGAAGCCATCGGCCTTACCATGGTCCAGTCTTGACCGCACACCATTGCCCAGGGCATTTTAACTGGGCCCAGCAACATGTCAACAGCCGTCTGAGAGACTGGTCTTTGGTTCTCATTTTCGGACGAATACCTGTTCTCTACAGATACTATAAACAGGGACCTCAGAGTATATGAAGGGGAAGGCGAACTTTATGGCGACAACTGTGTCACAGAAAGGAATCTCTGGGAAGGGCATTGCGTCATGGTCTGGGGTGAAATCATGCGGAACCACAAAATAGGACAAATGATCTTCCAAAATCAAGGCCAAGGTCGAGGTCAAGGTATCCATGCTGCCCGTTACATAGCAGAAGTTCTTACGCCCCTCTGCACAGTCAAAATTTTAACTTCCGGTTCCAGGCAGATAATGCTAGCGCGCACACTCCCCGTGTTACACAGGATTTACTTTAACTCCATGGCATCACTCTGCAGCCTCACCCTGCCCTTAGCATGGATTTAAACCAAATTAAGCATTTTTAGGACGAAATTAAACAACGCACCGAGGGGAGACAACCAAGGGGTAAGCTGGGTATTTGTGTGGCAATGAAGCAGTTTCGAGTGCTGTGCATAGGCCTATGTCTATGGGTGAATTTGACTGCGACGATGTTCCCAAGTTGCTGTAGATTATTTGATTATGGAGACGCCTCGCCCCTGTCTTTCATGGTGTAACCGGTAACCCATAACATAACAATATCTGCAGCAAAGTTCGCAACATAATAATATACTTGTTGTATTTCTCATATCCTTCTAAAACATATTTCTCACAATGGGCTACATTGTAAATAAAAAAAAAAAAAAATTAAAAGGTATAAATTTGTTTTACGAAAACAAATAATAAAACAAACCCCAAAAAAACCTAAGAGATAGCAGTATTTATTAGTGGCCTGGTGGGCGTAATAAAAAACAACAACAACATAATATCCTGCGCCTAAATTTGGAATGAATTGACTTAGTCTATTTTTTAAGTAGGGGCTAAAACCGCATTATTTTTCAAATGGACAGCCTATGTGTGCAGTTCTGTGGAGAATCTTAGAACTAGAGCGGACTGTTTAGTTCAGTTCTACAGTCACTGAGTCCTCGTAGAAGTCAAACAGCTGAAGTCCAACTCCAATTTACCTGAGAGGAGTAAATCTAATTTTATTGTTGTGGTTGTTGTTGTTGTTGTTGTTGTTTGTTGTTGTTTGTGGTGGTGGCGATGGTGGCATTTAAAAAATTCTTATTCTTATTCTTATTTTATTTTTTTGGCGGGGAAAGGGGGGGGGGGGGTAAACAAGAGATAATATATTTAATGGATGGCCAATAATCAAAACGAGAAAACTATGAAGGTCATACTTTAAACCTGGAAATGAATTCTGTACTGTCAATTTTGAATATATGAGAATTTAGGAGTGAATTCTGTATAATCTTATTTTTGATTATATAATAATTTGGAAATGAATTCTGTATAATCTACTTTCAATCATAATTTTAAAAAACTTGTAGAAAGAAAATGATTTTACAGTAAGTTGTTTGGGTCCTGATAGGGTGAAAGCTAATGCTTCGCGAAATAACAGAAGGAATATATAATGCTGTACATGTTGTACTTACATACTCGTATATCTTGACGCCCTCCCCCCCCTCCCCCAACTCCTCATTTTCTTCTACCCACGGGCAGGTGTGCTGTAACCGTGTGCTGTGTGGCTGTGTTCTGTCACGTGATGTGCTCCATGTGTGTCGCTGCTGTGTTACGAAACAACCTCCATGACACAGTGAGGGAACAGGGCTCAGGTGACACACACACACACATACACACTCACGTACACACACGCACACACGCACATACACACACACACACACACACACACACACTCACGT